CCAGAAATGCATTTTATCCGAAAAATTTCAACTTCAAAAACTCAAATCCTTCAAACTGATGCGAGTTTTACAGGTCGAGTTTCCAATTCAAAAACAATGGAAATCACGTGATTTTATTCAGGTTTTGTTGGGCTTTTGAATTAGATATTGTTCGAACAAAGCAACAAAAATTGGACAAGTAATAGTCAAATTATCACCGGAAGCGCCTTTTTGCAAATCGTCGCTACTGCTCATTTTGTAAATTCTATAACTCAGCCAAAATAAGTTTAAAAGGTCTAAACTTTTTTTCATAGCCCCAGTTTTGATTGCAGAATCCGAATATAAAATAAAAAACATAGGTTAATTTTTTGCTCGTGACTGCTTTTCTCGCTCGGCTCGCAAATCCTCTCTTAAGTTATTAGCATTTTAAACTGCGTAACTAGATGACAGAAATATCGCTCAAACTTTCAAAAGCTTTTACAATTAGTTTCAAAAAGGTTGATTGTGAAACATATTTCGTGCGCATTCTTTTACCAATTGAGTATTAGCAACTTTGGTCAATTTCTATATGTCAACTCGAAGTGGCGGTTAAACATTTAGCGCACTATGTTTTTGTATTTTCTCCCTTCCACTTTCAAATTAAGTCATGAATAGTCTATTATCAAAACTATAGAAAACAATCGGTTACGAGTTAAGTAAGAACTAAGATTTTGGGAGACAAAAAGTTCATTATTTCGCATTCTTCTTCCCTAAATTATGATTCGAAAAAGTCCTACACTAATCAATAAAGAGTTTTAGGGGCTACATTCTGTTAAAAAGTTTCAAAAAATGCAAGTTCCAGCTTTCAAATTAAATTTATCTAACATAACTACTTTAATCGATTTTTCAACCAGTTTTCAAGTGTTCAAATTGCACTGAAAATTATATAATTATAATTATATCTGCCCGAGAGAACAAGGCAAGTTTATAAATTAATATCACTTAAAATCGAAGAAACACCAGCAATAAATAAAATAAGAATAACCAAATCCACAGATCTTCAAAAATGATAAACAGGATTGGATAAAAGACGATAGACTGTTCACCCATGTGGCAGTATTCTTATTATTAGTAGAATATAATCAACGTAAAATAAATTCTATTTAAAAACAGACTGAAAAATGCAAAATTAACGTATAAAAAAAGCCACTTTATTAAAATCAACATTTCTGCAAGTAAAAACTAAAAGGAAAATAAGAAACCAAGAGCAACATATATATCAACAAACATCATAAAAGAAATTATGGGCATCAAATTAAATAACAATCCAACAATAATACATAAAAGAAGGTACAACTATAAATATAATAACAATAAAGTTATTAAATTGATCAAACTTAAAATTAACAAAAACATTAATAATCAAAAATGTCATAAATTGGACACGTTAACTCAAAAATTAGTTCCAATAGTGTACATATTTAAGGATCACTGGTTAAAATACTGAGATGTCCTATGCAAGTCAACTATCATTATATGCATCTTGTACGTCTCTGCCATCCACCAACATCAATATGAAGACAAATCGAACTTCTAGTTCGAAACTGACTCCATTTTAACAACGTACATGATATAGTAGACGAAGATTATTTTTCAAATCAATTAAAGTTACATTTGTTCGGCGTAATTCACCTTCGGTGGAAATGTGATGACTAGGCATGCAGCGGCAACGATAATTTACCGGTCAGCGAATTACAAATGAAATGTGAATTCGTTCGCTGTCAAGGCTACGTAAAAATATCAGTCCTCGGTCTGGTAGAATGTCGGTGCAACATCTGAAGCAGCAGAAATTAGGATGTCGGTTGACTTCACTTTCATACAGTACATTTTGGACTAATTACGTATGTAAAAATCAAACACCTTGCTATTGATAATTCCGGACATCAAGACAGTTGTTATAAGCTATTTATTTATTTAAACAACAAGACAGTTCTTCCAAGATCATCTAAACTCCTATCATGGAAAAAGATTGTTTTAACAATCTTTTGGTCACCAGTTACCTTTACCAGTAACTGGAACTGGTAACCAGTTACTGTTCCTTCGAATCAACATACTTTTATATCTCTAAGTGGATGTTTGTTGCTCTGTAATTTCTTTTAACAGTAAAAGGCGCTTCCCATAGTATAGGAACACTCACATTAAATAAAGATTGCTGTCAAATAAAGATTTTCTATACGTGTATTGTTTCTATGGAATACATGGCAGTATTGTCTGTGGGAACTGAGCTAGATGAGTTTATTACAATATAAAAAACAAGATAGATGATCATCAACTTTTCTACATTTGGATTATGAAGAAAACGGTAAGTGGTCACCAGTTCCAGTTACTAGGAACGGTAATGTTGATGTAGTGCTCAATGATGTTGATGATGAACGTGATGATCGTTTACGGCGTTTAGCACTTTTGTTCGCACTTTCACGTACAGGTGTATGTTTACGTTTGGTATTTTTACGTGCGTTATTATGTCTTGTTGAACATTAGTGTGTATCATTTGAATGTTGATTATCTGATTCAGTATTATCTGGAGCACGATTATTATCATCAACCGATATATCTGATATTGTAAAATTTTTATCACTATCATCTGTATAATCTCGATCGCACGCATCTCCATTATTTAGATCGCACGGATCTGTTTGAGCATTCGCATTAGTAATAATGCTACTTCGATCACCTGTATTATTATTATGATCATTATCATCTTGTTGATGATGTGAATCATTCACGGCATTCAATGCCATTGTACTTCAATAAACTATGATAGAGATAATGAGGCGATGTGTACACTATAAAGCAAAATGAAGGAATGGTCGGTTTTCTTTGAATGGCTTGGTTTATGCAAAAATGGAGGGAATACATAATTAACACTTGCAGTTACATACTGAATTTTATGAAATAAAACTTTCGACAAACAAAATCAATTTTGTACGAATACAGGTTCGCTTTGCAGTAAACTGCAAAACTAAATCCACTATTCTGTGTCTATATTCTGTACAACGATTGAAGCTGTGCAATCGACTCGATGTTATCAGTAGCAATTTTTTTGGTATGTTTCTGATATAAGCTTTATTCTATTATTTATTAGCTATAATGGAATATTTTTCCGCTTGTATTCTGACATACTATCGGAGGTTTGTTTGAATTTGGAGATTGATTACTGACCAATTTCACTTTTATTAATATAAAAGCTCATCAAGGTATGTGTAGGGAAAACAAACACAATGAAATTAAAAAAGCAAAAAGCCACCAACAACAACAAACACAGGAAAACACAAACCAGACAGTGAACAACCAGGTCAAGTTGTAGTTGTTCTGCCAATTCGTCAAGCTCTCAGATTCCACTATGTAGTGATCGATCTATTTTATCTGAGAGATGTATTATGAAAACTATTAGAACCAAGTACTCAAGTACTTGTTCGAGTAATCACTAACGAATTCCAGAGTATGGGTTTTGTACGATTGGAAAGAAAAAAGAACTTACGAGGGAACGAAGTGATACCCCTGATTTTGTTCAAACCTGGCTATTTACATGCAATCAAGGGCGCTGATTACGAATATGATAGCCCTTTGGTCCCGTAGACCTTTCCTAGCGTCTTTCTGGAAAATCGGGTTTCTAGAAATCCCCTGAAACAATCGCAATGTTTTTCCAACCTACTGAAACTATAGCCCATAAATTTTGCATCAAAATGAGCCATCTCACAGCCCTCCACGATCTCTCTTTGCAAAGTTATGGAATTTACAAGAAGTGCCCTAAATTAATTTTTTCCTCTTATTTCTGTGGCTTTGAGCTGACAACAAACATTTAGGACTCTTCTTGTAGATTCTGTAACTTTGTAAAGAAAGATCGTGGAGAGCTGGGAGACGTCTCATTTTTATGCAAAATTTATGGGCTACAATTTCAGTAGGTTGGAAGAACAATGCTATTGTTTCAGGGGATTTCTAGAAAACCGGTTTTCCAGAGAGACTCTAGAAAAGGTTGACGGGACCAACGGGCTATCATATTCGTAATCAGCACTCTTAATTATATATAAATAGCCAGGTTTGAACAAAATCAGGGGGTATCATTTCGGCAGATTCCCTCGTTAGCATCGTGTGAAAATGAGAACAAAACCGAATCTGTCAAAATAAGAACAAATGCAGAATATGTCAGAAATATTTTACCAAAACTAAGGAATAAGAAATGCAAAATTAGAGCCATATTGAAAATTTACGAGCATACCATCTAATTAAATACCGTCTATCAAATAATGTTTGACTGTGTTTCAATGACTCTTCGACGACATCTTGTTGATAAGGTAACATACACGGATGGTAACGACGCTTGTGTACATGTAATACGCGCAAGTGGCGCAAGTTTTTAATTAATTTAAGTATGATTTTAATGAAACGATCTGTCTGATATTGTTTACCACTAATACACAAATAATTCAGTTTCACAAATATTCCCGTAAAGGCATCGATTTCTGCAACGTCACGTAAATTCGGATCGTTACCCCAATTAAATATTTCTAAACGTTTTATTTTGTTAGAGGCAAATGCCTTTATTATTTCATCTTGCATAGAATTATTTGTTAAAGCTATCAATATAGGATAACGCACTTCTAACGTGTCGATATACGGCGAAATCATTATAATATGTCTAAGAATGATTATTACTTGCGATAAATTTACTCCTGTGTCAAAATCCACTCTAAGATGTTTCAAATGCAACAATATTGGACTATGTGGGGCGATGAACAGCTGTCCACAATCATCATCCTAGAACACATTGCTTGCAGGTTCATAATAAATACTCATCAACAGCAGAATCCACGTGAAAGGGAAAACGACACCTCATGTTTTAAGAGACAATTCGCGAGTTCACCACGTATCATGCCAAAGAGCGATCACGAGCAAAAAATTAACCTGTTTAAATGTTTTTTATTTTATATTTGGATTCTGCAATCAAAACTGGGGCTATGAAAAAAAGTTTAGACCTTTTAAATTTATTTTGGAGTTATAGAATTTACAAAATGAGCAGTAGCGACGATTTGCAAAAAGGAGCTTCCTATGATAATTTGACTATAACTTGTCCAATTTTTGTTGCTTTGTTCGAACAATATCTAATTCAAAAGCCCATCAAAACCTGAATAAAATCACGTGATTTCCATTGTTTTTGAATTGGAAACTCGACCTGTAAAACTCGCATCAGTTTGAAGGATTTGAGTTTTTGAAGTTGAAATTTTTCGGATAAAATGCATTTCTGG